TGATGGAAATCATAGCTAGATGACCATAAAACTTAAAAAAAAATATTCTATATTCCTATATTTGATAAAATAATATAGAGTAAAAGCCTACCGAACAAAACGCGCATATGTTCTATTTTTAAGTGTTGGCAAAGCTAAGTGTGAAGCGTATCGTGGAAGTGTTCCTAATGACATTTGTAGCCGACCCTTTTGACGGGGTCCATTTTATGGTGCCATTTTGTCAGGGTCATTCTGTCACTAGCCATTTTGACACTGAACGCTTTTCTTAACATTTTGACATAAATATACAATTCAACAATACAGTACAACGTAATGTGCGGGGCAGAGGCGTATCGAGGGGGAGGGTGCGGACCGCACCGGGTTACACCCGACCTCGCTACGTCAATGGTCCGGGGTATGTAGATATAAGCATTTAAATAACAGGCTTTGAAAACAGCAAGGTATACGCCTTTTTTACATTGATTTATTAATAAAATCTTTCATTTCCCAAACTGTTGTTTAGTTCAAATAAATGACAGCAACATATATTATGTATACGCCTGCATTGAAAAATAAATAAATAAATACAACTTTCATTAATAGCTTACCATTAATCAAATACAAAATTATACAACACTTTATATACTGTAGAACTTAGATGTTTTTGGAAAATATAACAACAAATTCATTGCCATATGGAGGAGTGTAGCTTATTAATTTTAGATGGGATTTAGAGATTCGTGTTGGGGGGGGGGACAAATTAAGTCGTAAAAAACAAAAACGATTCAATCTAAGGATACAAGAAAATAAACACGAAAAAGGATAATATACCTGCATTTAAGATACACATCTCCACCTCTCTACAAAAGAATAAATCAAACAAACATTGCCAAGACTAGATTTGGTAGCATCAGCACATCATGAATACTTGATTTGTTGGAATATGGGACTGTTACGTTGAAAGTTGTCCTTCCTTTTTGTGATGAGTTTAAAAATTAATAACTGGTACACATACCCATACATAAATACACACACAGATATTCCTATATATATATATATATATATATATATATATATATATATATATATATATATATATATATATATATTATATATATATATATATATATATATATATATATATATATATATATATATATATATATAGTATTCAACATGTACGAACATTTAAAGAGTATATATAACAAATTAGGACAGTCCATTGGTTCCTGTATTACAAAGAACATTTATTGGTGGTTATTCCAGTCTTTGTTTTGATTTTTTTTTCCATGTAAATCCCAAATAAAGGGATTGTGTCTGATGTTTTTTTTGTTAGGATTCTAGCCCTGATGTTTACCATGTTGGGTCCAAAATGTTTGTTTCTTTTTGGCAAAAGAAAAAAAATATTGTTACAACAAATGTACAACAGTCTGATGACCCATTTTAGCAAAAAATACTTTACTGTTTCACAAAACGAGTTAAGTACATGTCGAATGTTAGGGAAATTAAACAGCATCAACCTTCAGACTATAACTTGGTAGACAACATAAGAATTCGAAGTAGTATATGTTTTATTTTAAATTTATTGTTTGGTCGTTTGGTTTTATTCGCTGTCAGTATGAGCTTTCTGTCCAACCTTAATGATTTAACTATAAATTAATTTTCCAAATTACGAGATCTATATAGCTTAATGTAAACAAAATGAAAAGAAAAGTGAATATTGATATGTTCAATACACTTATTCTTAATGTTTGAAACCTAGAATAACGTGGGGTGGGCTGGGGTGGATAAAAAAGAGCGAGATGAGTGCAGAAACCGTCCTTCACGAGATATTATCTTGTGACAGTTTAAACATGTGTGTAGGTCATCACTTTTGTAGTCATATGTACTTAAGTATCGGTATACCATTTGGTAGTCTAAACATGTGTGTAGGTCATCACTTTTGTAGTCATATGTACTTAAGTATCGGTATACCATTTGGTAGTCTAAACATGTGTGTAGGTCATCACTTTTGTAGTCATATGTATTTAAGTATCGGTATCCCATTTGGTAGTCTAAATATGTGTGTAGGTCAGCACTTTTGCAGTCATATGTATTTAACTATCGGTATCCCTTTTGGAGTCACATGCGTTTAGAATAACTTTAAGGTGCCAGTTTATAAGTCACATGCAGATGTTACTTTAAAATGAACATGTATTTAACCTATCTATTACTTACATGTAGAGTACAACCCCATCACAAAGTCATTTACTTCATTTTGTCACACAGGTACGTCACATTTACATATTTTTTTTAATACACAATTTTCTAAATCGAACTTATGTCGGTTATAAACGTTATCAGATTTGACTGAATTGTATAAAGAAAGCTATAGTTTCTCTTTATATGATGAAACAAAAGACTAAAGATGACATATTAGAAATAAAACAACGGAGAGACAACTTTGTACCCGAAAATAGCAACAGGACATCAAGAATTGAACAACTCAGCAGAAGCAGAACTTCTATGGGTCTTCTCCGTGATCTCCTCGGCCGGCCAACTTTTTTGCCGTGTCGATTGAAATTCATAGCTTTCTTTGCAATATAATCGTCCTCCCTTCTCAGTGTCATCTCATCCATCCCCATTTATGGACTTTAATGGCAAAACAAAAACACATGTTGTATAAATATATTAAAACATTAAAACAAATGTAAAGCAATAAACTAATTTTACTTACGTATTTTTATTGGATACAAGCCGACTTGACCTAACTTAGGGGATGCATTTACGATTTGGACTTTTAGGCAGAAATTTGGACCACTTTAATGCACTTAGTACTTTTACTTTATCTCTAAATATGATAAAACTTTAATAAAATTCACTAAACATAGTAGAACTTACCGCTTTTTAATAGTTAAACATTTATTTCGTTTACTATTTGTGACTGCCACTTCCGTTGAGTATTTTGCTGCGCTTTTGATACTTTCATTTACAGTAGTTTAAAACAATATGGAGGATTGTTATTTAGTCGCGTTCAGATTTTTGACGAGAGCGGTACAAAAATAATAGTTTTAAATGATGCTAGTGGGTTCAAAGAAAACATCAACACAACACATAAATAAGGGACGTAACAAATACAATAATCTAAGGCGTCTGAATCATCTCGATACGTTCCTTTGTAAACAGCTTTCCATTTATTTTTATTAATTCAAGTCTTGCAGCTTTTAACGCAAAATGTGTTGGGCCTATATCGTGAAATATATTATATTTTTAAACGTACACCAACTGTTTTATTTGTAGTTAAACTTTATTTCTCTAATGTACTTCATTTCAAGAGACCATAGCTGACACATAATGCACTTTACTCCAGAATGAATGACATGTACTTCAATACACTAGACCTTAGATGACATGTACATAACTTTAGCAGTCTCTTAATGACATGTACTTTACTTCACCAGACAATAGATGACATGTACCTTACTTTATCAGACAAAAGATGGCATGTAGCCAACCTCATTTCAGAAGTCTGAACATAACATAGCGAAGGCTGATCGTAGCAAAGTATTGATATTATTTCTTTTTCTGGTGTAAAATTATTGAATGTATACAATTCCTGTTGCTAGAATATTTTTTTCTACACATGAAGGATTATTAATAAATAGGTTGGTATCGTTATATAACTATTTTCGTTTATTTTTCATCAGTCTTTTGTTTATGCGTGCCATATAATACAACAAATAGTTTATGCTTGGAAAAAAGTCGTGTTTAATACATGCTTGTAAATGTATAAAGTTTGACATTATCGGTTATGAAATACAAGTTATTGTAACTTACCCCATAAAACACACAAGCCAAAATCTAAACATATCAGTACCATGTTTACGCATAAAAGTGTAATATGCCTCAAAATGTTGGCACATTTACTAGCGCACAGAACTGTTTTCAAGAACATTTATCTGTAATCCTTTAGCAGCGTGCAATTGATGTTTTCGAGTGCACAAATACATGTGCTTGTACGTATGTGTTTATGTGTTTGTGTGTGTGTTTGTACAATTGTGCGAGCATACGTGTGAGTACTTGTATTCACGTGTGAGGAAATCAACAACATTACACACAAGTCCTGGTTTAGCTCAAAAAGGCGTATGGGCAGACGTCATTCATGTTGACTTTATGATTACAAACCTGGAAATCTAATAAACAATAGCACACGTACTAGAAAGTTGTTTAGACACATAGCCTTTAGTAATTAAGTAGGTTGATGTGTCTCACATACAACATCTGATCTCTTACGTATGCCCCAATGAAACCAATTCATTAATAACATTGATTTCTGCCTGTTTAATGAACATAAAGCGACTGATTAGGCTTAAACTTAAAATTAGCTGTCATGTGACTAATGCAATACAAGGGGCTAGTGTGCTTATCAGGAAGAGAAAAATATATAACAACCTCAGTTAAATATATAGTTGTAGGTCATGTTCAGCCAGTTAAAGTGAGGTAAATGTCATTCTCTGTCTTGTGGAGTTGGGTTATCTCATCAATGGTCAGGTAAAGATGTAAATGTTTCCTTAACCGTCACGAGAGGTAATGTGTGTTGTGACACTTCATGTAAACTGTCGTCGTTAGCTTTCGTGTAGAAAATTTCTTTAAAAACTTGAAATGTGTAAAAACATACTTGAGTGTAGCTGTGTTTAATCAAGCGTAGCCACCACCTCATCTACTAAACCCTAATTTAAATGAATGAAGTAACGATTACTTATCACTAATCAAACTCAGGTAATATGTCTAGCCTGCATAATTTGAATGAGAACATAGTTATTTGAATATATATGCTTATCTTTTATTTATATAAACGAATGGCCTATTTTTGTATGTGTAGTGGGGGTGTGTGTCGGTGTGTGTGTTTGGGTAGGTGTTCATTTACAAATACAATGCTACCGACTAAAAACACAATCAAGAAAAGCGGTAATGTATTAGATCTAATATGTTTTTACATTTAATCACATTCCAATATATTTACAAATGCATAAAATTAATTATTATATTAAACTATCAGACTCATATTGTTGTCTTGTGAACTTATTTAAACATTCGTCTTTAAAATTGTTCATTAGATTTGTCTAAAAATGCAGGTTTCAACTTCATATTTAATACAAAATAATATGTTTTATTTTTAACATACGAAACGCATACAAATTAAATGGTTCACGCAAAGGTCTCTTACAGAAGCGTTAAAAGATGTAAAATTATAGCTTTCGTATATGTATATTGTGGTCAAGTAGAACATATTAATTGGCGATCACATAAAATCAGTTTGAAATGTGTACTGACGGCTAAACAAATAACATGAAATCATTAGTGTTTATTGTAGACATGTATTCTTCACACATAGTAGGTTGTTAGCATGTGTTGAACATGGTGGTTACATGTTTTATTGAGAATTTCCCATCCACAAAGTTTTGTGTTGTACTTCTATAAACTGACGATAGTAAAACTACTGAGCCAGGATAAAGCTGCCTTTTTATCTGCTTCCACCACTTGAAAGTAAAGTTCTTGACCTTTCTTCATGTCAACAACCACTGACCCAGCAGCGCTAGTGTTGGCACATTTCACTGCTATTAACGTACACCACCTGCCTCCAGCCCACACACCAACTTAAATATTTTTATCTCCCGATTTATGTAGAGTGACACAGACAAGATATAAACCATCATGTGGTGATACAAATGTTCCTGTTGTTTGATTAAAATGTTGACCGTTATATTCACGAACTTCACGAAATTTTAAAATAATGTTTACATAACTGACAGGTGTTGGTTGAGCAAGCTCCACATGACAAGCATATCTGTTACATACACGTGACTCTGTTGATTGGAAAACATTTGTATTATTTACATGTTTAATTCCACCAATGCTTGCTATAAATGTGTAACATGTCCTAGTGAAAGTGCATGAAATATGACATGTAAGTACAAAATAAAAATAGAAGACAAACAATGTCTCAACAAATAAAGACTTGTGGATTATTTTTATACAATCGTCTATAACAGCACTCATTGAAATGATTAGTTAGTACCCCGACAATTTTTGTAGTGTTAGTTAATCGTCTCCTGCGTATTGAAACTATTAGTTTAGTACCGTCCTCAAGATATATGATATCCGTTGTTTTTTTTTTCATTATACATGCAAACGATTAGTATTAAAAGCCGTAATACATCAGAAGATTGTAAAAATAAATATGGCAAGTTTATTAACACAAAAACGACCAGAACCAATTGAATGATAATATTGCCGTGAAGAAAAATTACAACAAAATATTTTGAAAATTGAAATCTTGGTACTAGAACACACTGTTTTAGTAGCAGAAACTTAAAGAGCTGAAGTTTTAGTTAACATTATAAAAAAACTGTAGCTATATTCACCTCCTACTGTAACAGATTTACCTGGTTTTTAATGCATCAGGTGAGAAACAAATGTATGGCGAAACCCACGGGTCTAGTGGCTGGTACCATGGGTGAGTGAAATGTTCGAATCATTTTTCTATATTATGCTCTGTTTGGCTAACGAAAATCGCTCAAACTTATACATGGTATTACGTTTAATATTAAAGAGGCTCGTAAACTAAAATAGAAATGTATGGAGTTTGCATCGATATTCTACAATAAAGTTTTATATTTACACCTAGATAGAGATAATATAGATTGAACAATTAACTTATATCATGATGTAAGATTATTTTTTCCCGAAGAATCTTACCGATTACATTGAAATCCATCGTCAGCTTTGATATAACATTTTCTATAGTTTCTAGCTGAATTAAAATAAAGTATAGTATAAATTTAATGAATAAAGTTATCACATATCAGCGTAAGTGATACAATAGGTCCACTCACTTTAGATTAGCAAAGTGTAATTAGATAAATTGATTTTTATAGCACTAACTTGTTTTTATACTAACATTAGATACCACTTAATTAACAAATGTCATTCATTTGTCTGAAAATAACTAGACAACTAATGCCCTATGCTACAGATTATATAGTAATTAGATATTTACAAACATACCTTATTTATTCTTTCTTCTCTAGTTTCCAAGTTCTGGTTAAAGATTTGAATCAGTCTGTCAAATGGCATCAATCTTTGTTGAAGGAGTTTGCACATCACATTGTGCTAAATTGCCAATGATTTTAATGGATTATTACAAATTTTACTACTTCTTAAGATTAAATTGCAGAATTAAAAACGTGCTCTAAATATAGTTCTAGAATCAATGGTCTTACTGCTAGAAAAATTAATAAACTGATTTTTAATTAAAGGTACACCTTGTTTATAAAATGTGTAGTATATAAACTTGTCAGCAAAAGTATACCCAATTAATTAGCAATCGTAATGTTTACCTTTAACTGTAACTTCTCAAATTTGGTTGATACATTTGCCATGGTTTTATTAAAATCCTCTTCTAAAGAAACAATAACATCAGAAAGTATTTTAATTTCTTGTGTTATACTGTCTGTTTTATCAGAGTGAAATTGCATCTCTTTATTTATTTTGTGTAAGTTGTTTTCATATTTGTTCATATCTAGAGACAGTTTCTCTTGTGTTTTGTTTGGCCTGGATTCTTTTTCTTTTAAACTTTCAATTTCTTTGTTCAGCTCCTTTACTTTGTTATCTTGTTCACTCTTTTGTTTTCTGAGGTTTTTGAAATTCTGTTTTTGTTTTTTAGTCAGTTGTTCAATGTTTACCCCCATGTCACTCTGTTCTGTTACAAAGTTGTCTCTCCATTGTTTTATTTCTGATATGTCATCTGTAGACTTGTCATTGACGTCTTGTAGAGAAGATATGGCTGTCTCTATCTGCTCAAGTCGACTGACGTCTTGTAGAGAAGATATGGCGGTCTCTATCTGCTCAAGTCGACTGACGTCTTGTAGAGAAGATATGGCTGTCTCTATCTGCTCTAGTCGACTGACGTCTTGTAGAGAAGATATGGCTGTCTCTATCTGCTCAAGTCGACTGACGTCTTGTAGAGAAGATATGGCTGTCTCTATCTGCTCAAGTCGACTCACTATTTCTAATGCCATAAAAAGACCAAAAACAATTACTGGAATTAGTAATTACGTCTAGAAGAAGAAAATAAGGCATACCTATCTACATGTTAAGTTTTACAAAAAAATGTTTTAATTTCAAAATAGTTTATACCCGCTGTTGATTGAACGTGTTTAGTGACTTGATGATTTGATTCACTAAGGTCACGTTTATCTGCTTCTGTAGTCTGTGGTGTAGACTGGGGTAATGTTGGCGTATATTCCTCGTAATCTACGTAGTCTTTATTTTCATCTAGGTAATGTAAATGAATAAAAATAATATGTCATTACATAAAGTGATAATGGGATATGTATTGTTTAATATTTGTGTCAATTTCTTTCATGTTTCAAATCTTAATTTTGTTTGATGTACGGTATATTTTTTTACGTTCGTTGTTTGCTTTCATTAGGCTAGTAGAGATTTACAAATCTTACATTTTTTATAATTATAGAAGCACTTACTTATGATTGATGATGCCGCATTGAACAAACACAAAGTAGCTGAGTCTAGCTCTTGATGTATTTCTATGTAGGTAAATGAGGGGTGTTCATTTTTATCCTCTTCTATCCAAGTCTTACTTTTTTGTACAGCCTTGTAAAAAAATTTATGATTTTTTAATGAAACGTGATGAGCGTTTAATATTCTTCTATGTATTATTTAATCAATAACAACATTAATGATTAATTACTTGTTTCATAACATCCAAGACAGGTTCCAGAACTTGTATCTGTTCTTCCAAATATTTCTTATGCCTCGCAACAAGTTCAACTTGAATCCTGGGTCGCATCTAAGAAAAAAATTAAAAGATTTGGTCGCGGTATTGACTAATTAACTTGATTAACCAGAAAAATTTTAAGACAATTTTAAAAATAGAAACGTTAAGAAACCTTTTATAGTTTAAGTCTCAGTAGATTAAATTTGATAGCAGTATTATTCAGAAAACAGCTATATTTTGTCAAAGGCTTTCTTGCTGATTAAATATCTATCATGACGTTTAAACGTCTTATTTCTTTTGATAATTATTTTTAACTTACTACATGAAATTTCACTCTTTACTAAATAAATGTATGCAAGTAGGCCTATTTGGTAAAATTATATAGGATCTAACGGGAAAACCCGATGTTATAAAAAAAAATGTGTACAAGTGATAAAGATGGCGACAAGACACGACACGTACTAGAGATAGTCGATTGCCTCCAACTTTAACTAATTTAAATGATTAAAAAATCATATTTATGTCATATTTATGTCTATCTCAAACTAAGTAAAATTTAATGTATATTTTAAATTAACTTAAACAAATATTATTTTTATATTTAATAAAAGACAAATATCAAATAGTTTAAATAAAATGTGCAGCTTATTTAGCATACGTTTCATGTTTATTGTTGTCGTTACTGTCTAAAGATGAATTTAATTGTATGTAAATGGGATGTTTACACTTACTTTATAACTTTTGGAATATGTTTAGCTTACAGTAGAACCGGTCTTGTCTTTAGAGTGCTGAAGGCCTTCCACATCTGCCAAGTTCATCCTTTAAAGCGAAACTTCAAAAAGGGAAATCCCGATATTACCTAATACGTGACGTCAACTTACAAGGGACAAAACTGTTGTTTTTCTAGTTTCTTAACACATGTATTTAGGTAACGTAACACTTGTTTTCTTTGTTTGCACAGAACATCTCCTGTTTTATAGATCTACAGTCGTCAAAAGGTTATTAAACTTTTTCTGATTGGGATTTGTGTTGGGTACAAAATAAAGTCCAGCAAAATGTCAGACATAAAATCTATTGTAAGGCTGTTGTTTTATGGTAGTGCTGTCTTAAATAATATTATTTTTCCATGAATGGTTGAGACATATGTTAAAATATCCTATAAATAATCAAGATTCGTGTATATCGAGGCTTGCTTTGAAATATTCTTTGAACCTGGAAAATAATTAACACATAATCTGACAGTAGGGACCATTTGTGTCATTTAGATCTTAGTAATAGATGTATTGGTGTATTCTGCATTGCTTATATCTATTTGCTAGTCACATGATATACAATTATAATTACGACAATTAGGGGTTCTGTTCTAAAATTGTATAACCTGACAGAAGATGTTTATGGTGGTGTCAAGAAATGGCTGTTAAGTTCCAAAATACACTTACCACAGGATATAGTTAATTTGTTGGGACAATCCATAACTAAACCATTTAAAAATTGTTAATTTTAATCTTCTATGAGTGAGATGTTTTTAAACTTGAGCAGCAGTTGTTTCATTTAAGAATTTTCTCTTCTAGAAGGTTGCTGTCTCTGGTTATCGGGCCTCATCTGGTAGAGGGATTAAAGTCAGGACTGTAGTGTGAGCAATAATGAGCTCTCTTACCTGAACACGGGGATAATGACGTCAACGTGTGACGTCATAGACTCATTATGCTTTGCGTCATTTAATTTGTGTGTGTTTGTTATAACATTAATTTTAGAATAAAAATAAATTAATAAATCGAGAACTGATAACTTCAATAATAATTTACAACCTATATTTTAATAAACCAGACAAAGGTGATTTATATTTGCAGCAAAGCTTAACTAGACCCATGTGTGGCGTACACTACAGAAGGCAGGTCAGAGCTATTTCATGTCTTTGATGCTGTGTAAAATCTATCAAATAAATAATTATTACTGATTTAAAGGTTTAAAACAATTGAATTAATAAAACAAAAACAAAAAATAAAAAGGAAAAAAAAAACTAATTGAGGACTATATAGATATAGATGTTTGAAAGGGAAGAGTGTTTGCTTTTACGTGTCTCATTGTAATAACATAACTTTTCCGATTGCTTAAAATTTGTATCATTTTAATTCTCTGTAATCCCAAATTCATTTCAGCTCTACTTTAAAAAAAAAAACAAATTCCCCCCCTCGTCCCCTCAGCCCACCACGCCGAGAAAAAAAATCCCTTGAATCATCATTTAATTTTAATTACACATTTGCATTTTCAGTTTCAGGTTGGTTTTTAATTTTTAATTTTTCTTTATATTTAGACGTTTTGTATTACATCTATGTATATGTAAACCATCTTAAATGAATGAAAGCAGGCTACAAGTAAGAAAGAAATATTACTATTGTAATATATTGTAATATATTGTAGTTTTCATTTGATGTTCGAAATTATGTAAGAATTTGATGTTGATGTACTTGTTTTAAATTGCAAATAAAAATATTTAAAAAAAAAAAAAAAAAAAAAAGAAAAAGATTATTAAAATTTATTATCATAATTCATAAAAATATTATACTGTAAAAAACACTAAGAATGGGTGGAATAGAGTGTATGCTGACAGCGTTTTGGGTACTAGGCCCAGTCCCCCAACTGTGATATGGCCAGCCCCGTGGCAGTAGTTCCATGAAATCCACTACCGAAATACCTGCTATTTTTTCGAATATTTTCAATTTTATTTATCGATTTTATTTAGAAGGCATTTTCTTATTTGTCAGTGTGCATTAATTTGACTTGAGTGACACGGTTTTTTAGTTATTAGCTTCTAAATTGGGTAGAGATAGTGCTATAGTTATATATAATTTGATTTTGTTATCGTAGCATCCTAGCAGAGCTAGTTAAATACTTTATTATGTGTTGTGCAAAACATGCGTATGTTTTTATATGAATAAATATTATTTCATACTTAAAAAAAAATAATAAAAAAAAGAGCTATTTCAAGGATTGTACACATTTGGCTGAAACATTTTATTTGCACTTAATTTAAGCTGAGGTATTTGTTTTTATTGTTTTTATTGAGATATGTATTGAATAGAAGAATGTGAAAGATCTACTTAACCGTCATGAGATATATTTAATGAGTAAAATGTCAGCGGTCGTAGTTTGTTTTCGTATAGAAAATGTCTTGAAAAAAAAAGATGATTGTATAAACATATTCTCTTTCGTAGCCGTGTTTAAGAAGGAATTAACTAAACTTTCTCAAGTCAGCCCTAAGATCAAACGAAACAACTATTACCTCCAATACACACACAATACACCCCCTAAATTCTCTAGAACTGTATGCATACATTATGCTAACATTTAAAAAAAAATTCAAATATTTCAAAGATCTTATATTTATTGTAATATGTTTATGTGGTTATATGCAATGTTAAGTCTACTTGCCTTATGTTGTTTTTTACGTTGGTTATGTTAAACACATATACAGCAGTATGTACAATATACTTTAGACAATGGACGGTGTAAGTTTGTTTAACACATAGACAACAGTATGTACAATGTAGATTAGACAAAAGAGAGTGTAAGTTTGTTTAACACATAGAAAACAGTATGTACAATGTAGATTAAACAATGGACAGTGTAAGTTTGTTTAACACATAGACAGCAGTATGTACAATGTAGATTAAACAATGGACAGTGTACGTTTGTTTAACACATAGACAGCAGTATATACAATGTAGATTAGACACATAGACAGCAGTTTATACAATGTAGATTAGACACATAGACAGCAGTTTATACAATGTAGATTAGACAAAAGAGATTGTACGTTTGCTTAATGTTATGCCCGGCAGAACAAATTGTTATTTTCTTGAGAAACAAGGCCCAGACAAATATAATTGCATGACTATATAATATAAATAATCTGACATTTGAATTTCTTGTATCGCGAAATAGCTGTACTGTAATTTAATTTTTGTTACATTAAAGCAGTGATCACAATAACAGTTACATGCTATATATTAAACAATATTTAAACATATTTTCAAATAGGCCTACTTAGAATAGATTATTGTTTTAAATACAGCAGTTTATTTGATTTGTCTAAAATCGGATTTCAATTAATTATTTAAAAATATTTTCTTTTAATCAACGAAACGAAAAAACGAAAAAAAGGTTAACAGGTATTGTCCGTACAAACGTAAAAACAGAGTTATGCTATAGACTATAACAGGGGTCTCCAAACTACGGCCCGCGGGCCGGATGCGGCCCGCGAGGTCCTCTCATCCGGCCCGCGGCGATCTTTTTGTCCTCGGAAAAAACGTCTGTTGGTGATAGCTGAGGAACTTTGCCCAGAAAAATCAAAAACATACCTGGAACTAACTGGCCCCCGAACTGAAATTTTATAGTTAATGCGGCCCTCGGACTGAAAAGTTTGGAGACCCCTGGACTATAACTATACCTGTTGTCAAGGAGAACACACGGTATGTGATTACACTGGATTATGTGGAACTGTGGGGACTAAACAAGTAACAAATAAACATTAGACACTATGTAGAAAAAGTTCTGTACACACAAAGTTTTAATCATGTGTAACATAATGCTTATTTGTTGTATTGTATTTTGAATTTACAATCGAACTCTAGTCAAAAACAAATGCAAAAAAAAAAAAGAAATTAAAAAAAAATAAACAAACTTGTTTCTTTTGAAACGGAGCAAGACTCAAACTACACACTAAAAAAACCAAAGTTATACAGCAAAATACAAATTTTGTGCCGATTAAAATAACCAGCAGAGAAGTTGAGGAAGTAAAATATTTAATAGATTTAAGATGCATTGTTATTTACAAACGAGGCTACATTACTGTAATTTTTTTTTAAAAATGCATCTCTAAAGTCAAACAAGCCTTTGCAAACCATGCAAAAAAAGACATGGCGATTGAAAAGAAAAATCTCCAAGACTAAATGCAGACTTTTCAAAATAATCCCTAATAGCACTCTATAAACTTACGATGGTAAAACTACTGTAGCAGGATAAATGTGCGTCTTGTACTGGGCAGTACATTTTGCAATAAAGTTCTTGACCTTTTTTCATGTCAACAACCGCTGAGCCAGCCGCGTTAGTCCTCACCGAATTTACTTCTATATACGTACACAACATGTCTTCAACCATTACACCAACTCCAATAAGTTTAATTCCCCATTCATGTAGAGTGACACATACAAGATATAAACCATCATGTGGTGATACAAATTTTCCTGTTGTTCGATTAAAATGTTGACCGTTATATTCACGCACCTCATCAAATGTTGAAATAACTGATCCATGACAGACAGGTGTGGGATCATCAAACGACACATGACAAACATACTTGTTATATACACGTGACTCTGGTGATTGGAAAACGCATGTAATTCAATGTTCAATTTCAAAAAAGCAACATGTGAACCGTTTAGTATTTAAATTCATTTTCTTATAATGGTACATTTTGCACTTGTTCACTTTATAGTTCTATTTTAGATGGTTAATATATCGAAACAAAATTTACCAGAACTGAAGTTATTCTGTTATGGTGTGTGTGAGTATGTGTATGTGTATATGTGTCTGTGAAAGAGGGTGGCTAACGAACATAGCTTAGTAAACTGGTACTTTCGAGTAATAGAAAAAAGATAGAGAGGATGCGTGAATTTAGTTAAAGTTCAGTGGTTCACAACCTTTTTCGAGTGGCGTCCCCTTATATAAAAAGTAAGTGACCCGCGACCCCCATAGAATTAAAAAACCGAATTTAGTATGGAAATTAATAAGCACTAAAATAAGATGGTCTAGTAGACTTTCAACATTAACTACTCTTGATAACTATTTTAATAGCTTTAATAGCATGAGTAAAATTGCATACTATTCACTAAGCCTTCGTGGTTAAGTTTTTAATTTTAATAACAAAATTGTTAACGCCAACCTATGTCATTATAATTATCTTAATTTTATTTTTAATCGAAGAATAGTGTTGAAAATATATTCTCGAAAATTCAATCAATTTTACGTTTGGGTATGAATGGTGAATACTACACCAAAATTGTGTCTGCAGTTTTTCATCTTACTTGGAATTTTTCTGCAAATCAAAGAATTCATCGGGAATGCTGGCAACATCAATGGAAGAAGAGAATGGGTAATGCGTAAATGCAGATTCTTCTTTTTTCAGCTCAGAGAAATAGCGATGCAGTTCGTTTTCAAGAGATTCAAGATACCTAAAAATCGCTTCTTACAAAATTTTAATTATCTCACAGATTCATCTACCACACCGCTGAGTTTCTCAAATTTACAATATTTCCAAGATTTATTTTCTTTACCGATTTTGCAGCTTTGATGAAAATGCCCCGAGATTATCATGGAAAGTTATAATATTCGTTCATTTTCCCTGAAGCTTCAGGTTAAGCTTATCTTGATGTTCAAACACATCTGCTAGGTGAGATACTCTCTCCAACCACTCTATTTCGTTTTAAGTATAACAAAAATCTTGTTTCCTTTGCACTTCTAAGAACAATTTGATTTCAGATTTCAATTCAAAAACACAATTTACAACATTTCGTTTGACAGCCAGCGTACTGTAGTGTAGAAGTGCAGAACCTCGTGATCAATATTAATGTTTTTGCTCAGTTCTTTGAAGGCTCCAGATTTTATATCTTGATGTCGATTGGTTAGGGCAGTGGTTGGAGAGCTAAATCTTTTCTGTTTTCTGAGAGCCCGATTTTGAGCTAAACATAGATGGCACACTATCCGTACAAACCCCCACAGCCGTTCTAACCCATTTTAATCATCCGGTTTCAAAAAAGGTATTTTTTTTTCATGCTATCTTCACAAAATAGCAACTCTTCTTTGCTATCATACGCATGAATATGGACACAGACCAGCAACTGCGAACACGAACTCACGTCTGTTGATTTATCAACTTGAAAGGCAAACAATAGTGAAAGCTTAATTTCGATAACAATGTGTTATTTAACATGTACGTACATGCAGCGTTTGATGAGATTTTCTCCTATTGTTTTTTTTTTTTTGCTTGGCATTTTCTATCGCGACTTCATTTGATGCTTGCACTGGTGAAAACTTCCTGTTCGATCAAGTCTCTGGCGTTTGCAACTAGCTTCTCACCGACGAAAGAACTCCATATATTTTTTGGTGTGTTCCGAATGACTCGTCTCAAATGGCGTTTTAGTTTTGAAGATTTCATAGATTCGTGACTGAGAGCAACTTTGTACAGTGCGCTTTGTTTCTTCTCTATTACATTTCCAGTGAAGTTAATGAAGCCGAATTTTAAAAAATTCTTCTAAATATTTATGTTTTGTTTTAAATTACTAAGGTTTAGTAGGCCTATACCAGTTGGCGACCCCCCAGAAAGACCTTCGTGACTCTCAGTGGGGTCGCGACCCCCAGGTTGGGAACCCGTGAGTTAAAGAGCGGAAGAAAAAGAGAGAAATATTTAACAGAGGTTAGCGAAGGTGAGAAACTGATTACCAATTGGTTAACATTGAATATATATACACTACAGTCGTACTGTTGTTACGTATACACGAGGAAAACAAAGTATTTTTATCAAAGTAAACTTACCGATTACATTAAAATCGCTGGACAATCTTGAGATAGTATTGTTCACATTTCCCAGCTAAATTAAAATAAAGTACAAATTATATAAAATAAACAATCACGTAGTTACGGAAAAGATACTTCTCTTTTGCTTTTAAACTGTTATGGAAACTTTTACGAATAAATGATTTTATATTCATGAGAATTATTTAACATGAGAATGAAGTTAACTAGCGATTATATATTAAATTGTTGACAAAATAGGTAGAAATTTAAAAGTTTACCTCTGATTGTATCTTCTCAAATTTGGTTGATAAATTGACCTTTATTTTATTATTATCTTCTTGTAAAGAAACAATCAGATCATAATGGTTTTTAATGTCTTGTGTTAAGCTGTGTGTCTTATTTCTGTAAACTCGTACCTCATTATTTATTTTATCTAAGTTGTTTTCATATTCGTTCATATCTTGAGACAGTTTCTCTAGTGTTTTAATGAACTTGGTTTCTTTTTCTTTTAAACTTTCAAATTCTTTGATTAATTCTTTTACTTGGTTACCTTGTTTACTAATTTGTTTTTTATGATTTTTTAAAATCCGATTTTGTTTAATAGTTTTTTGTTTAATGTTTAAAACCATGTCACTCTGTTCTGTTACAAAGTTGTCTCTCCATTGTTTTATTTCTGATATGTCATCTGTAGACTTGTCATTGGCGTCTTGTAGAGAAGATATTGCTGTCTCTATCTGCTCAAGTCGACTGACGTCTTGTAGAGAAGATATGGCTGTCTCTATCTGCTCAAGTCGACTGACGTCTTGTAGAGAAGATCTGGCTGTCTCTATCTGCTCAAGTCGACTTAATATTTCTATGGCAATATAAACGTAAGTCAATCGCAGAAGTATTAAAATTTGTAAATCATAATATGCTGTTTTAGCTTTAAAAAAATACATTTAATTTGTTCATCGATCTAATATTGGTTGAAATAACAGTTATGTTTACATATTTGAGTATACCTGATGATTTATGGAGATCTTTAAGAAATTGATCTGTTGTCTGAATTTGGTCACGTTTTTCTGTTTGTTGCATAGACTGCGATGAACATGGCCTTTCTTCATCAGTATCTACATGGTCTTTATTTTCGCCTTGTAATTTATAGTGAACGAAAATGTGCATACATAATAATGTATACTATTAATTCACTTGTCTTTTTCTCGAACAATGTGAACGTATTAATTTAAACTTCTTTTTAGATAATTTTTAATGCACAATATTTATTTATTTATTTATTTTTTAAATGATTTACAATGTAAAAGGTATTAGGTATTTAGAACTTCCTGAGTCCACCCAGCGCTGATATGTATCTAATTCACGTTAGGGAAACTAATGCGGCAGGGCATAGTGCTTACCAAATTATCTCATCTAATGCCGAGGTCTATGAATCAGATGAGCTCTACTTCATCTGCCCTATGAGTCTTTGGCATTAACGGGATTAAAAAGAAGAAAGATATTCAATAAATTTTAATATAGTAATTTAAATACTGACGTAATCTATACGTTACAAGACTTTCCTGTTATTATTTTATTAAATTATTTCTGTTTAATCGATACATCAGATTATCACTTAAAATAACAGATTTTAAAATATTTACTTAAGATAAGCGACGATACATCCAACAAGGCCAAGGTAGCCGATTCAAGTTGTTGACATAGATCACAGTATGTCAAAGATTTGTTGTCACTTTTATCTTCTAACCAAGTCTTACTTTTGTCTACAGCCTGACACATAAAACATTAAGTTCTAGTGTTAAAATGTGTGTGTCAGTATGTTATTTGAGAACATTGTTTTCTTTAATATTTTTAGTTTTTGAATACTATACTCTATCTTTATCGTCAACAAGCCCAATATAAAAAGCACCAAGTCAATGATGAATGCAGGGAGAGACAATAACCACTTACAGCTTGCAAAGCTTCAACCACAAGTTTAATGACGTGTATCTTTTCTTCTAAATAGTTCATGTGTTCTGTAACATATTTGACTTGAACTCTAGGACGCATCTGAATAACACACAGATAGTCACAATGCACACACTAGAACGTACATTACGATTTAGAAAGATGTTTTTAAGAAAATGTTTTTTTTCACGGTATCGTTCAACATCATAAACATCATAAAATTCTAGTAGAATATACACATGGAGTAAAAACCTTGATTTATTTAAACATTATTCATAAACAATACATTTCGGAGCATTTAAGGGGCAATAACACATCTTTTTAGTCGATGTGATGTGTCAGTTGTCTAACCTGTTTTTCTTAAATATAAAGCGTATAGAAATCGTACATATAGTGTATGTAACATTAATGGCGATATGATTAAATATAAACTCACTTTTGATGAAGAATAAAACTGGTAAGTCATTGACACAAATTACATCTACCATGTAGTGCTGTCTGAGTTTTATATGAACTTTGCACTGACCCGTTCTTTGGCTTAATATCCAGTGATCTATCTACTAAACATTCGTATGCAACATTTAAATCGCTTTATCATTAATTTGGCACATGATCTGCCTTTATCAGTTACATCTGTTGTGTGAAGGTGTGATCAAAACATGGCGAGTATGTGCCAACATATCGTGTATGTGTAGGTGCCTTTACCCTACTTTAGGTAGTACCTACATCAGACATTCATTCGTTATATAAACAATTAGATTTCGTCAGGGCAGTGTATATAGTTTCGTTTAGGATGGGTAAAATTTGACAGACACACATTAAAAGATCAGACGTGTCTCAAGAGGTTGCTCGGGGACACCGATTGAAAACTTTGCAAAGTTTACAGTGGTAAAACAGTTTTGATAATGTAGGCCTACCTTCATCAACATACGACAGTAAACGACTGAACTGGGGCGTTGGGTAAAAGTTAGGGCAGAGGATGTGTGCGGTATCGTCACTTGAAATGATAGGCCGCAATCGATTTTGAAATTATATTTATTTTCTCAAATTTTTGCATTTCTATTGAATGTCTTATATTTAACAAAGTGAATAAAATATGACCTATCGTTAGTTTAAAAATACACATTAATACGGATTGTTACATAAGAATAGAAGGGTCAATTGAGTGGGAGAGAGAGAGAGAAAGTATGTGTGTGTATGTATGTGTGTGTGTGAGTGAGTGTGGCGAAAGTAGGGTTGGGAAAATGACGTAGGTTTCAGTGGGCCGGAGGTTTTGTTTTAGTGAAGCCACAGAGCAGGAAATTGCATTGAACACTAAAGGGAAATAAAAATGTTCATAAATATAGCTTGATACACCTTTATTAGAAGCCCGGGAAGATCATGATACTGAAAAAAGGAGCAGACAATGTTTGACTGTTTGGTCAACTAACTGTTCTATTTGTAAAGCTGTGTAAAATTTTCTCACAGACAGTAACATGGGAAATTAATATAATTACACAGTCGGGATATACTAAATCTGTTGGGAAATTAATATAATTACTAAATCTGTTGCTGTCAAACACCATAAAACAAACGAAAAACAAACGTCCGCGATCGATTGTGCTATATATAAAAGATCCCTTACATGTGGATGTTCTCTATCAGAAAACACCCGTAACAAAATAATTTAAGTAATTCTATTTTATTTTTATATTTTATTATTATATGTCGTGTTATAACCGTGCGGCGTCAATTCGGCCAATGACGAAACGGCCCCGTCAAAACGACCCCGACAAAACGACCCCGTCAAAACGACCCCGTCAAATCGGCCCCGTCAAAAGGGCCAGCGACATATGGACCCCGTCATATAGGCTCCCGACAAATAGGCTCCCGTCATTTAGGCTACCGACAAATAGGCTCCCGTTATATAGGCTCCCGACAAAAGGGCTCCAGTCAATAAGGCTCCTGACAAATAGGCTCCCGTCATTTTGGCTCCCGACATATAGTCTCCCGTCATTTAGTTTTTTCCACAAAACAGCCCCCGTCATTACGACTCCCGACAAATAGGCTCCCGCCATTTAGTTTCTCCACAAAACGGCCCCCGTCATTACGACTCCCGACAAATAGGCTAGCGTCATTTTGGCTCCCGACAAAAAGGCTCCTGTCAATTTGGCTCCAGACAAAAGGACTACTGACACAGTGGCGTAGCTACCGTAAAGCTAGCGTAAGCAAGGCATGGGGGCTCAAGGCACATAGGGGCCCTTTTCCCTCATAAAAAATTAATACTTTTACAATGGAATTTTAATATTTGTTACATATAAATAATTTTAAAAAAGAAAAAGCCCCCCCCCCCCACCGTTTCGGCAGTGGGATTCAGTGTTTGTGGGTCAAACAGAGCCCAATCGTTATAATAACACTACAGGCTATATCACTTTGTCGTGCAAGACATTGAGAGAATCAGCCTATAAATAAACTTTTTAGCAGTAGTAGGCAAGCATAATAATACAGTATAAATACAAAATCAGGACATATAAAATACAAAATGTTGCCTTCAGAATATTTATATATTAAAAAATATCCATCGTAAGTAGAAGTTGATCTCTTCGTTTAACTCCTCTGTAGCCTAACGCAGAGGCATAGCGAAGGCGAGGCGGGGGGTGCGGACCGCAACGGGTGACACCATTTAGGGGGGGGGGGGTGACACCAAAGGCAAAAAATTGTAAAAATTTATAGAATGAAATGCCATTTTCCAGATCCATTAGTTAAAGTTAAATAGTCTTCTAAGTACAAAGCAAAAATTATATCAAGAGGGGGGGGGGGGTGACACCACGACGTAAACGTAAATTATAAAGAAAACAATGCTACATCCAACTGTATTATAAACAGACTGTAGAGAAACATCGTTACTATTAAGTCAGCAGTGATTAAAGCTTAAATACGTACGTGTACCAGTATGTGGCATATATATAAATTTTAGACCTATGTAGGCCGACACACACACACACACATATATATATT